TGGTGCACACAGATATTTGCTTCCATGGATGCTTTAAAATGACCCTGCCTGGTTCGAGGGTCCAAGGGAATAGGGGAGGGTGGGGGGCAGGAAGGTGCTGGTGCCCTGTTCAAGTGCCAGCCCCACCCAGGGGTGCCCCCATAGCTGGGCACCATATGGAACTGAGGATGCTTCTTGCAGGAGTTGAGGTCCCGTCTTGCGGCAACGGATGCCGTGGCCCCACAGGTTTTCATGTCCTTATAGGGCCGAGGCCCTTCCTTCCAGGAACGGGGCCCCAAAGGGCCCCAGGACGGGTTTCAGCAAGTCAGGGCCCTCCCGATCGGGTTCACGAGCCACCTCAGGGGGACTGAGGTCCCCACCCCCTCCTTAGGGGATTCACGACCCCTCTTCACAAAGACCCTACGTGGATGTCCACGTCGCACAAACACACCTGGAGACACCTGCCCCTATCGCTGCTGCAAATATGCAGGTAGGGACGCGGCCCTTTCTTTGTGAAATTCAGCCATTTCTGTCGGAAACAGATTTGCGGGGAATTCCCGCCTTATGGGAGGCTCCTGCTCCAAGAGTGCGTGGGGTAGACGGCGCGCACGCGCTTCTCTGAGCCTTGAACTCTGCGGGTTGTCTGCTCCACGGACCCATGAGGGGCGCGCGAAACTACAGCCGGAGTGCTGCGGGGTTCCTGTCATATGGGATATGTGAGAAACCTGAATTCTGTAATACACGACACACATGGCTCTATGTAGAGTGTAGGATTCCTCTCATATAGGAGAGAGAGGGAAAAAACTTGAACTCCGCAGGAGTCCTATAAGATACAGATAACCCAAATTCTAGGATGTAGGATCTATATAACCCGAGTTGTATGATATAGGATGTATGTAACTATGTATAGTCGCATATGGTGTATAATATATATATACACACACTCTATACTTATATAATACAGGATATATAGGTATATATAGGTATATATGTGTATATATATTAGAGGATTCCCATAGGATATATATATCCTATAGGATATATTCCTATAATAAAATAAAATATGTAATATAATTCCTATATTCCTAGGATATAGATATCCTATATTATAGGATATATAATTCTGAATTCTGCCGTATTCTTATAACATAGGACATGTACATAAACCTGAATTTTATAATACAGGATATATAGAGTATAGGACTTTTATAATACGCAATATATATAACTATCTGCAGTATGGGATTCCTTTAATATAGGATATATAGTAACATATATTATAGGGTTTCTATGATGTAGGGCTTACATAACCCAAATTCTGTAATTCTATTTTATAGATAACCCAAATTCTACACATACAACTATATGGTCATATATATTATATACTATATAGGATTATATAAGAGGATCTATAAGTATGTACACAGTATAAGATTCCTTTAATATAGGATATGTAGTAACATATATTATAGGGTTTCTATGATGTAGGGCATACATAACCCAAATTCTGCAATTCTATTCTATAGATAACCCAAATTCTACACATACAACTATATGGTCATACATATTACATACTATATAGTATTGTATAAGAGGATACATAAGTATATACATAGTATAAGATTCCTACAGTATTGGATAAAGGATAAAACTTGAATTCTGCAGCATTCCTGTCACATAGGATAGGAATATAGCCTGGATTCCATTACACAGAGTAAATAGAATAGATGAAAATTATATATAATCGATGTAAAATATAAATTTTATATATAGTATATAATTATTGATTAAAATGTAGTATAGAATTTCTATAGTATAGGACATAGAGCTACATATGTGGCATAGGATTTCTATAATGCAGGATCTACATAACTTGAATTCTGTACTATAGGATATATACATAACCCCATCTAGTGTAAGATTCCTACGATAGAGGGCACATATAACTATATATACTATAGGATCCCTTTAATACAGGATATATAGAGGTACATATAGTATAGGATTTCTACAATGTAGGAGATAGAGCTACATAGATAGTATAGGATTTCTATAATGCAGGAGATAAATATATATATAACCGGAATTCTATAATATAGGATATATAGCTACAACCTGAATTCTGCAGGATTCCAATAATAAAGGATATATATAATATACAATAAATTTGTATAAACTATATATGATAATAAAGGATATCCATGTATATATATATCTATGGCCTGAATCCTGCAGGGTCCCAATAAGAAATGTCCATCCGAGACCCTCCCGCCTGCAGGACTCACACCCAAGCTGCCCACATGTGGTTTTCCGCACTGGGGCGGCCGAGCCTTTCCACAGTCACCTTTACCTGTGGACTCGCTTCTGCGCTTAGATCACGACCCTCTGCAGGGACCGCGCGGCCAGGCATCAATCTATGGACACGTGTGCACAGGCGTCAGCATGTCTCACAGGTGGGCTGTGGTATCTGTGATGTGCGCATGTTGACCTGCGCTTATCACGCAGGTTTACATCTGTGGGTGTGCGAGAGACACACCCACATAAACAGGTGTGTGCACACCTGCTGCAGATGCACAGGTGTGCACACACCTGCATCTACAGTGTGTTATGTCATGATGGGCTGTGTGTGTGGATTGACACATACCGATATTGACAGGCCCCCCAATACTTATTGGGGTGGTCTCTGACCACCAAGAGGCTGGCCCACGAGCAACTACGGGGGACTACCTAACCCCGACAACCCCATGGGGGCTGCGACGCGGGTAGAGGGTGGCTCAGCTGCCAAGACTTCTCCCAAGACAGGGAAGCCCTCAGGGTGGGGCTGGGGGAACCCCAGAAGGCGCTCCGGGAACTCGGGGAGGCGTCCCACCGCGGGGAGGCAGCCGGAGAAGGGCTGTGCGCAAAGACGGGACCACCAGAACCACCAGAACCTTCCCCCACACTGGACACTTATGCACCTGCTCTCCAAGCTCCCTGCTCTGCGGTCCCGGCCCGAAACCAAAAGGCCACCCCGGGGTGCTACGCAGCCTTTGGAGAAAGTGTCCAGGAGCCGCGGGCAGGCCTCGAGGAACATGCGCACTGGAGAATGTGCCAAAGGTGAGCGTCTCTGTGGGACCAGAACCACGAGAATCCTACAGGGCGCTCACATCCTATGTCCGGGGACATACAACCCTCCGCGCGCACAGCTGCCCCCCAGGCGCGCGGACCCCACAGCGCCCAGGCTTTCCAGCCCTGCGCTCTGGCTCCTGGAGCCTTCCAAGGAGCCTTCCTGATGAAGCTTGTCAGGCCAGGCATTGCGAAACCTGTCCAGGGCCTTCTGCGGGGGCAGGTATGCGGTCCAGCCCGGGGCGGGAGAGGAAGGGTCAGACCTCGCCTGGGCGCCCAGAGTTCACGGCTGAAAGGCTCGACCTTTGTCCCGGGGACATGGGCGCGAGGCCCGTCCTCTGCTTGGCCGCCTGTCCCTGCGCCCCCAGGAGCGCCCCCGACCCGCGTCCCTGCACGCAGCCAGGGCGCACACGTCCCCGCGTGGCCGGCTCCTGGGGTGCGCGCCCCTGGGTGCGGCGGCGCCTGGACCTGCCCTACGCGCCTGTCCGGCGGCGCTGGGGCGCACGCGGCCAGCTCAAGGCGCGCATTTTTCCCATTCCATGCCTGGATTTGGCAACTCGCTGGGGCCAGGCCTCGAGCTGGCCCACGGAAAATGCCACCCACAAAATGCCGACGAGGGCCGGGGTGAGGCTGGCAGCCAAGGCCAGAAAACCACACCCAGGCCGGGATGAGGTTTCCCGAGGGCCCCTTCCGGGGTAGGGGGTGAGGAGGGGCAGCGCCCAGGACACCCATGGGGGCGCAGTCCCTGGGCCTTGCTGGCGCCCCAAGAGTCTCTCGGCAGGGGCTGGGCGTCGGCGGCCCGGCGTGCGCTCGGACCCAGGCACTCGAGTGACTTTTGAACTCTACCCACTAGGGCAATCCAGTCCCGCATTATCGGGGTGTACTTTCTCCGGGGCCGGCCTTAGGACTCGGGGCGCGGTGGGGGCGGGCGAAGCGCCCCGGATCTGCGCGTCCTTGGCACGACGCACTTTCTCCATTTTCCACAGGGACCTGCAGGACTTCAGGCCGCGGCTCCTCCAGCACGGCCTGGGGGCGCGCTGTCCCCCTACTTTGCGCTTCTGCACCCACGACGGAGCCCAGGAGGCGCCCGGGAGGCTCCGCGAGGCGGGGCGCGCCCATCCCCGCCTCCGGCCACCAGCCCCGCGCGCCCGTCCCCACGGCGGGCCCGGCCGCCCGGGCGCCGCCCCAGCTCCGGAGCCGGCGGCAGGGCGCGCGCAGCCGCTCGAAACTCCCCGTTTCTTTCCATTTTCCAACTTTACTTTCAGCCCCGCCCCGCGTCTCCGCCCTCCGGGCCGGGGCGCGTCAGCCGGCGCGAGCGGGGGGCGCACGGGCCGGACCCCACCCTGCGCCCGGGCGCGCGGGGCGCGCGGGGGGCACCCGAGCGCGGGCGCCTCCCTGGTCGCCGCTGGCCGGGGCCGCGGGCGGGGACAGGCGGCGCCCCGCGGGCGGGCGGACGGGCGGGCGGGGACAGCGCGCGCCCCGCCCCGGCCCTTCCGCCCGGCCCCCCATTAGCGCGCACGCAGCGCCCGCGCGGGAGGCGGCGAGCCCGGGCCGAGGAATGAACGCGGCGCGCGGCGCCCGCGGCCCGCACCCCGCCTCGCCCCCGCCCGCCCGGGCCGCGCCCCCCGACGCGGCCGCGCCCCCGCCCGCGCCGCCGCCCGCCCCCCGGGCCCGCCCCCCGCGGCCCGCGGCTACTCCCACCAGCTGCTGCTGCTGCTGCTGCAGTGAGCGCGCCGCGCCCCGCCATTGTCCCCGCCGCGCCGCCAGCTGCGCCGGGCCGCGGGCCGGGAGGCGGGGGGCGCGCATGGGGGGGCGCGGCTGATGCCGCCGCGCCGCCCGCCCAGGCCGCGTCCCGGGAACCCCGGCCCCCCGCGGGCCCCGGCCCGGCTCGGCGCCCCGACCCCGAGCGCGCCCCCATGGAGGCGCCGGCGCCGCCCGCGGCCGAGCCCGACGCCCCGGAGCGCCGCGGGGGCACCCCCGACGGCGCGCCCCGCGCCGACCCGGACCCCGACGCGCCCGCCGCGGTCGCCTACCGCCTGCAGGACCTGGACACGCTCGCCACCGTCGGTGAGTGGGCGCCGCGCGGGGGCCCGGCCGCGGGGACGGCGCAGACAAAGGGCCCGGCCGCCGCGGCCCCGCCGGCTCCAGGGTCCGCGCCGGGCGCCCCGGGGGCCCCGAGAGTGGCGGGGCGCGCGCCCACCCCGGCTCGGCTGTCGGCGCCCGGCGCGGCGCTTCCGAGGCCGCCGGAGTTGGGCTCACTCCGCCCACCCCGGCCCCCCGCCCCCCGCGACCACCGCGGCCGGGGCGCCCGACGTCACAGACCCTGGGGGATGCCGTCACCTGCGGCGCCTCGCGCGCCCTCCCGGCGGGGACACCCCCCCACCCACCCCCCCGCCCCAAAGAGGCACCTGCGCGCTCCCCTCGCCGGCGTCGCGCTGCCCAGCCGCGGGGAAGGGCGTGGGGTGGTCGGCCCTGCGCCCAGGGCGCGCGCCGGGGGCCGGGCACGGTGTCCCCAGCGTTCCGGGACCGGCCGCGCGCTCGGCGGGGCTTTCACCCGCGACCCGCCCGGTTCCCCCTGCGCCCTGCCTCTGAACTTGGGGTTTCCCTTGCGCCCCCCCCGAACTTGGCCCCGACGGGCCAGCTTGGAAAGGCAGGTTTCCGGCCCCGCGAGTCCCCGAAGGCGCCGCTTTTGGGGCCACCCCAGTGAGTCCCAGTGTCCCGACCCCCCCGGGGCGCCGGATTCAAACAGCGCCGCGTCGTCTTGGCAACACCTGCTGACTCAGGGGACAGGGGACGAGCCAGGGCAGCAGCTTTCGGGGAGACGTGGGGGCGGGGAGGGCGCGGCTGTGGGACCTGGCGGGGCGCAGAAGGTGGAGCCGAGGGTCAGGGTCCTGGGTTAAGGTGAGCCAGAGGGGCAGCAAAAGCCATCAGAGAGGGGGGGCCGCTCCCCGGCGCCCCCTCCCCGGGTGTGGCTGTTGGGCGCCTGGGCTGATTTCAGGGGGATCCGCTGTGCGCAGACCCGCCGTGCACAGAACCCCAGGCTTGTGGCCCTCCAGTGCCCCATGGAGGCCCCGGGGAGCCCCCTGCCTGCTGGCACGCGCCCCACGGTTGTATTTGGGCACCCCCTCCCTTGGGTGTGTCGAGAAAGGCGGGGCGGGAGGCCAGGGCGCTCGCTGGGCGTGGCGGGTGGAGGCTGGGGACGCCACCCGGGGTGTCAGGGGGGGGCCCAGGGGGCACAGCCACGCGGGCATGGGGTGCCCGGTGAGTCAGGTGCTGCGTAAAAATAGCATGTGGCGCCGGGGAGCGGGCGCGCCTGCGGGGACGTGACCTCCGGGAAAGGTGGGGCTGCCCAGGCGAGGATGCTCGGCGGAGAGGGAGGCCTTCCTGGGGGCGCCAAGGGCGCGAGGGGACAGCCGGGGTGGAGGAGCCCGCGCTGGACCGCACCCGTGTGCGCGCGTGTGCGAGAGACAGAGACGGAGAGGTGGAGAGAGAGACATAGAGATGGAGAGAGACGGACACGGAGAGAGACCTGGGGACGGGAAGGAGACAGACACACAGACACGCGGATGAGGACAGAGCTGCAGGCCGGAAGGGGTCCCCAGGTGACCGAGGGTGGCCGGGCGGAGGGTCCTGCCCGCCGGGTGTGGCCTGGAGACACCTGAAGTGTGGCATCCTGTGCCCCAGAGCCACGCCCGTGGTGTCCGCCGCCTTCTCTCCACAGAGCGATGATTACAAGACAGACGGACAACCTGAGAGATGGACAGAGACACAGAGACTCGGACACCCGGGCTGGGCCACGTGTTGCTCTCCTGGCCTTTCCCGCCGCCCCTGAAGCCCCTTCTTTGGCGCTTTCTGGGCAGCCTGAGTGCCCGCTGAATCCTGGGCATGGCCCCCGCCAGTTGGGACTGCAGGGAGAAGTAGCTGGACGTTTGCAGGCGCTGGGGCTGCTCCCTGATGGGCCTGGAGGTGATGGTGGGCAGCTCCTGGAGGCCAAGGTGGCCGGTGCCCCTTGGGACTGTCCCCAAGGGGCCTCCCCGACTGCTGTGTGAACTCCTGGCCAACGTCAGGGGTCTTGGGAATCCCAGCTATTCTGGATGAACCCACTGGCCACTGAACTCAATCTTACCTTCCCGCCTTCCAGCATCCTAATCCTGTAGGGGGTTCCCCATCTGTCCAGCCCCCGCCCCTAGGAGTGCCCCCAAAGTCCCTGGGTCACTTAACAAGCCAAGCCCGAATCACCCTCAATGCTTAGGAGATTCCAAGGCTTTCTTGGAGTGCAGGCCCAGAGCTGGACACCAAGTATAGTCGGTGGAGTACTATGCAGCCATGAAAAGGAGATGATGATGAAACCCTGCCATGTGGGAGAACAGGGATGTATCGAGAGGGAAGATGCCCAGTGACATCTTGGTGGCCTGGACGACCGCACACTTAATTCTGTCTGGAGTGGGCACTGGAGAGGAGCTGGCCCACTGGCCAACCTCCCTGAGTGGACAACGTTGAGGTTCTCCAGATTTGGGCTTGTATTCTGATGCCCCCTGAAGGTCCAGTGAAATCTCACCCACACGGCCTCCTGTCCCCAAGCCTGGTCTCATCAGGTGACGCGAGCCCGGCCAGACTCCCCCTCTGCTCCCAAAGATTCCATGCAAATGCTCCCGGGAAATGCCTTTGCCGTGGAAGTCACACAGGGTGGTCGGGGTCCAGGCGCGTGTCTGGCACCACCGAGTCGAGTGGCACAGACGTCACAGGCTGGTGGGCAAGCAGGGGGCAGCTGACTTATTTCACTGCACATCCTTCCCTCCAGGGGCATCTGTTTTCTTGCAGTTGACAGAATTTGCATCTTATTTTTCATGGCTGTGTAGTATTCCACTGATGTATATTCCACACCTCTGTCCTCTTGGCTGTCACTGGGCATTGTTCCCTCCAGGTGCATCCATGTTGTTGCAAACGGCAGGCCTGCACCGGTGTTTTGTTGTTCATGGCTGCGTAGTATTCCATCGGTTTAGTGGAACTGCTGTATAGTATTTTAGTTCATGGCTGCGTAGTATTCCATGGCATTTTCAGAAGCCACGCCAGCTGCGCCGGCCTCTCCGGGACAACAGCCAGGCCTGTCCTTGCTGCCCCCGTGCTTCCTGTCTTCCTGTGTCACTTGCCCTTGTTGTTACCACTTCCCGGGCCCTTGATTTGTTTCCAGACAAAGCATCCTGAGGCTGGAGAGTTAGGACAGTGGCCGGCACCCGTGCCCATGTGTCAGGGACTCTTGCGCCCACTTCTTTGTGGCCCCTGTCCGTCAGGGACGACCCCTGTGTCTTAGAAAAGAAGGGCCTCGTAGACTCTGAAGAAGACAACTTTTTGTTTTTCATCTTTGCACCCAACTGAACGGGTCACTTTGCTGGATTTTAGTCCATGTGTGAGTCACTTTCTCCTCCAGCACGTGGTGTTTTCCTCACGACTTGGGTGGGGAGTGACCTTGCAGAGGCATCCCGTAGGTGGTCAGTGGGTGCTGCGCGCAGGCGGCTGCAGCAGTAACGGGGGGACCGCAGGACAGGGTGTAGTTCACGTTTTCAAGAAGCTTTCTCAGGATTGGGGTCTGGCTGAACCGAACTGGGGGCCCATGGCGGATCCTTAATGGTGTCCCTCAGTTAAATATTAAATAAATGCCCTCAACGTTACACAACTGATATCGTAAGACAACTTTAGTCATTGATTTCCGTGAGCAAGGGTAGGAGTAGGGAGGAGGTCTCCCATCTCATCCATGAAATGAGATTGCATCTCAGGGGCTTTGGGGGAATGTGGTGGCTTGAGTATCTGAGGGGCTGTGAGGGAATATGGCGCCTTGATTGTCTCCATGGCTTGGGGCATTAAGGTGCCTTGAGTGTCTGTGGTGGGGCAATATGGCGGCCTGAGTGTCTGAATGGCTTTGGGGCAATATGGCGGCTTGATGGTGGCTTGAGTGTCTGGTTGGGCAGTATGGCGGCCTGAGTATCTGAGTGGCTTGGGGCAATATGGCAGCTTGAGTGTCTGTGGCTTGGGGCAATATGGGGCCTTGAGTGTCTATGGTGGGGCAATATGGCAGCCTGAGTATCTGAATGGCTTGGGGCAATATGGCGGCTTGAGTGTCTATGGCTTGGGGCAATATGGTAGCTTGAGAATCTGAGTAACTTGGGGCAATATGATGGCTTGGGGTAATATGGCGCCTTGAGTGTCTATGGCGGGGCAATATGGCGGCCTGAGTATCTGAGTGGCTTGGGGCAATATGGCGCCTTTAGTGTCTACAACTTGGGACAATATGGTGGCTTGAGTGTCTTTGTTGGGGCAATATGGTGGATTGAGTATCTGAGTCGCTTTGGGGCAATGTGGAGCCTTGAATATCTGTGGCTTGGGGCAATATGGCGTCTTGAGTGTCTATGGCTTGGGGCACTGTGGCGGCTTGAGTGTCTATGGTGGGGCAATATGGCGGTGTGAGTATCTGAATGGTTTGGGCAATATAGCGCCTTGAATGTCTACGGCTTGGGGCATTATGGCGCCTTGAGTGTCTACAGCTTGAGGCAATATGGCGCCTTGAGTGTCTTTGGTGGGGCAATATGGTGGCTTGAGTATCTGAGTGCCTTTGGGGCTATGTGGAGCCTTGAATATCTATGACTTGGGGCAATATGGTGCCTTGAGTGTCTATGGCTTGGGGCAAATGGCACCTTGAGTGTCTATGGTGGGACAATATGGCTCCTTGAGTGTCTATGGTGGGTCAATATGGCGCCTTGAGTGTCTATGGTGGGGCAATATGGCGCCTTGAGTGTCTATGGTGGGACAATATGGCTCCTTGAGTGTCTATGGTGGGGCAAGATGGCGCCTTGAGTGTCTATGGTGGGGCAATATGGCGCCTTGAGTGTGTATGGTGGGTCAATATGGCGCCTTGAGTGTCTATGGTGGGGCAATATGGCGCCTTGAGTGTCTATGGTGGGACAATATGGCTCCTTGAGTGTCTATGGTGGGGCAAGATGGCGCCTTGAGTGTCTATGGTGGGGCAATATGGCGCCTTGAGTGTCTATGGTGGGTCAATATGGCGCCTTGAGTGTCTATGGTGGGGCAATATGGCGCCTTGAGTGTCTGAGGGGCTTTGGGGCAATATGGCTTCTTGAGTGTCTGTGGCTTGGGGCAATATGGGGGGATGCCAGAGGGTGAGGAGTAGCTTCTCCCCTAAACGTCCAGGGGTCGTGGGGCATGTTGCTGTGCTGCCCTCGTGAGCATGAGCCGCTGGCCTCCGTCATGGTCATTGGAGACATCAGTGGGGAAGTCAGTTTGCCAACGGGATGAGGAGGCCTGACCTGTGCTGGCCCCGTGACCCCAGCCCATGGCCTTGTCCCCCGAGGAGGCTGACCCATGCTGTGCCCCCAGGAGGCTGACCCATGGCTTCCCTGTGACCCCGGCCCCAGCCCAGTCCCCCAGGAGGCTGACCGGTGCTATCCCCAAGGGCCCAGCCCCGCCCCTGACCCTGTAGGCCCCAGGAGGCTGCCCGCTGCTGTCCTCGCGGCCCCATCCCTGGCCCCAAGAGGCTGGTGCTGTTGTCCCACATACCCCGGCTTCGGCCTGTCCCCCTGGACGCTGACCGCCGCTGTCCCCGCAGGCACGGGCACCTTCGGGCGCGTGCAGCTGGTGCGGGACAAGAAGGCGCAGGACTTCTTCGCGCTCAAGGTCATGAGCATCCCCGACGTGATCCGCCTCAAGCAGGAGCAGCACGTGCACAACGAGAAGGCGGTGCTGCAGGAAGTCAGCCACCCGTTCCTCGTCCGCCTGTGAGTGCGCCCGCCCCCCTGCGCCCCCCAGCCCGCTCCGACTCCCCAGCACCCGGCCCCGCCCCGCCCCCTGGGGTCCCCCACCCCACCCTGCATCCCGCTGTCCCGCCCCATCCCTCTAGGGTCCCCTGCACACCCGTCCCCTGCCTCTCCTCCCCGCTGTGTCTCCCCGCCCCACCCTATGTCCCCCTATCCCGTCCTCCCTGCACCCCCAGCCCCCTCCGTGCTCCTCCGTGTCCCTGCCTCTGCCCCTCCTGGCCTCTTCCATGCCTCTCCCCTCCCCTCCCTGCCCATCCCTGGCCCCTCCCTCCAAACTGGCCCCTCCCTCAAAACTTCAAGTTCTTGCACAAACCAGCTCTAGAACCTTCTCGTCTCCCCCAGCTGAAACTCTGTCCCTGTGAAACAAGAACCCCAGCCCCGCTCCCCTGGGCCCCACTGGGTGTCACTGTGGATTTAATGACTCAGGCGTGGACGACACGGGATTCGTCCTCTTCTGTCTGCTCATTGCACCAAGCACGGCCGTGCCTTCGAGGCTCAGCCATATTGCCGCAGGCGTGGGGCGGCCCTTCCTTTTTCATGGCTGTGTAGTATTCCCCTGTAGAGACGTACCCCGTTTTGTGTATCCAGCCAGCTCTCCAGGGACGCTTGGGCAGTTTCGGACTTTTGGCTCCTACGACTCAAGCTCCCGTGAATTACAGGCGTGCAGAGATAGGAGGTGTCCTGGGGTGACCTGGGAGGAACATCCTCGTGGGTCATGTCAGCTCTCCATGGCGACGGCACGAGGCTGTCCGGGCAGACTGTCTGCCTGGAGATTTCCGCAGAATTTAGCAGCCCCAGCACCGTCCCTGCCCCCTGCGGCCCTTCACGACCCTCCTCCCCTGGTGAACCTTTGGGCCGACTCCCCGGTGGGAGGGGACCGGACACATTCACGGGCGTAGGTAACTAAAACGAGGTGGCCCCGGCAAGGCCCCATGCCTGTGCTCTCTCGCTCGGTCAGAGATCTCGTCAAGTGGCCTCTGCGGGGTGCTGAGGTCAAGCATGAGGATCAAGGGTGGCATCGGAGCCCCCCACTTTGGAGGGGTGCCCTGGGGGCCACGGTGGGGTTCCCGGGGCCCTCTGAGAATGAACTCAGCGGAGTCTCGGGGTCTCAGGACACCGGCAGGAGCCAGGTGGGGGAGCCTCATTGCACCACCACTCGGTGCTGGAATCATTTGTGCAGTTGTGTTTTGGGGGGTTGGTTTCCTGCCCCCCCCGGACTGATCACCGCAGCTCTGCTTTTCTGGGGACCCTGCCCCTGGCCGGGAGGCCACCCAAGAAGCCGTCTGCACGGGCTCCAAAAATCGACTTGGCTTGGAGGCGAAAGTCTGGTCCTTGCAGATAAAGAAGGGGACCCCGGCGTGCTCGGGAGGGGAGTCTGGGTCGTCCGCCCTCAGGCCTCAGCTTGGGTTTGAACCGGGGACACTTGGAGCAGACGTGGCAGCTGGACTCTGGGCGCCATGGCCGGTCTCAGGGAGACCCCGCTGGCGTTGCCCGCTCTTCGGGCAGTTCCTGGACGTGCTTCTGTCCCTGTCTCGGTCCCTGGGCGGCCTCGCCGCGCTCTCCGGGCTTGGGAGCAGAGCCGTGTCCACCGGGTCATGTCCGTGTCCATCGGGCAGACAGGGCCCCGCGGCACTGGCCGAGGAGGCTGCGGTCGCCCCGCAGGGTGGACGCCACAACTGCTCGGTGCCTTGTCACCTGCGCAGCCGCACCTGGGAGTCTCAACCCCTGGGTTTTAGGGTTCCCACGCGTGGGCGGTTGCGCCCCCAGTGTCTGGGCCACACCTGGCCTTGATTCAGTCTGTCTTGGCACCTGCTGTGCACGGCTGAGTGTCCTGCACCAACACCTTGTCCCCCAGGGTAGGCGCCCTCATCCCCGGGTGTCCACCACCTGTGGCCAGCGCCCGCCCATCACTGACGGGGCCCTTAGATTCTGGACCAGGGAGCCCTGCCCGGCGCTGAGGCTGCGCCCTTGGATTCTGGACCGTGCACCCTGCCTGGAGCTGACCGTGCACCCTTAGATTCTGGACCGTGCGCCCCGCCGGGCACAGACCGCTGTGTTCTTAGATTCTGGACCGTGCGCTCAGCCCGGCGCTGACGGCCGCGCCCTTGGTTTCTGGCACTGACCGCCGCGTCCTTAGATTCTGGATCGCGCGCTCCGCCCTTGGATTCTGGACAGAGCGCCCCGCCTGGCGCATCCCATGGCGCCCTTAGGTCCTGGACCAGACGCCCCCGCTTGACGCAGACCGCTGTGCCCTTAGATTCTGACACTGACCTCGCGCCCTTAGATTCTGGACTTAGATTCTGGCTCTGATCCCGCGCCCTTAGATTGTGGACCGTGCGCCCCGCCCACCGCCGTCCGCAGCATCCTCAGATTCTGGCACTGACCGCGCGCCCTTAAATTCTGGACCGCGCGCCCCACCCAGGCCGGCGCGCGCCCTTAGATTCTGGACCAGGGAGCCCCGCCCAGCGCCGACCTCGCGCCCTTAGATTCTGGACACGCTCCGGCGCTGACCGCGTCCCCGGCTCTGCCCGCAGGCTCTGGACCGGGCACGACGAGCGCTTCCTCTACATGCTCATGGAGTTCGTGCCGGGCGGGGAGCTCTTCAGCTACCTGCGCAACCGCGGCCGCTTCTCCAGCAACGCGGGGCTGTTCTACGCCGCCGAGATCGTGTGCGCCCTCGAGTACCTGCACGCGCGGGAGATCGTCTACCGTGACCTGAAGCCGGAGAATATCCTGCTGGACAGGGACGGACACATCAAGCTCACCGACTTCGGCTTCGCCAAGAAGCTGGTGGACAGGTGAGCCGGGAGCCGTGGTCCAGGGATGGGGAGAAGGTGAGGCCAGCTGTGACCCAGGCTCTGGAGAAGCCGAATCTCTCTGTCTCACACCCAGAAACACGCACCCGCTCCTTGCCTTGGCACGATGATGCCCGTATTGCTCCAAGCGCCCTAGTTGGCCAGCGGTGCCATCACACAGCCCCCCATGTGGGGGTGACGCCCCAGAAGGGCCCCGGGTGGGGGGACAGGTGCACGGGGTGGCTTCTCCGGAGAGCTGGAAACGCGTCCCTTCTGCGCCCTTATTTCTGGGCACACCGGGGTGGGGGTCCCCTGGTTGCTCAGTCCTTTGCCGCCTCTAGGTGGGGCTGGAAGCTCACTTTTTAGCAAGCCCCAAGTGTCCTCTGAGCTAACCCTCTCCAAAGCTGTCTGCTCCGGCCAAACCCCAAATGTCCCCCAAAATCCCAGCTTGGAGACTGAAGTCGCAGGACCGAGCCGGCCTCCGTGCGCCCCTGGAGGGCAGCAGTGCGCGCTCACTAACACCGGACGCGAACTCGGGAATTCCGAGTCGGACCGAGCCTGGCATGGAGGGCTTTGTGCAGCGCAGGCGCGCCCTGTCTACACTGTGGAGCAGCCCCTCCTAGCGCGGGGTTCCCGCCGTTAGCTGGTGGCCTTTCCTGCGTCTGCCCCGCGCTCACCGGTCCCTGCGCCTGTGACCGCCTCTCTCTGCCCGCAGGACGTGGACACTGTGCGGGACGCCCGAGTACCTGGCCCCCGAGGTCATCCAGAGCAAGGGCCACGGCAGAGCGGTGGACTGGTGGGCGCTGGGCATCCTGATATTTGAGATGCTGTCGGGGTGAGTAGGGCTTAGCGTGCACCTCCCCCGCGGTGCCATCTCCCTGAGGCTCCCCGCCTACTCCCTGCCCCGCGCATGGCTGAGCCGCCAGCGCGGACCTGGTGTGCCCGGAATATGAAAGGAACCCGCCTCCCCAGCTCCCCAGCACGGAGGGAGGAGCGCAGTGGCCACTTGGTGCCCGTCCACGCTGGAGAAGCACTGGCCCACGGGTGCCGCTGTGTACACAGGCGGGTCTGGGTACCGCCTGACAGGGGTGGGGTCATCAGCCAGCAGTGTGAAGCCCTCTTGGGAATTTTGGGTGTTGGGGGGGTTGCTGAATCAGGGTGATGCTCACTGGGTGCTGGAGGTTGGGCTTTGATAAGATGAACAGTATGTCAGGGCATGTTCCCGAGTGTCTGTGCCCTGGCTGCTCCCCCAGACCTGCCCAGGACTGGAGGGTCTTCTCCTTACCTTGCCAGCCACCCAGCAGGCCAGGATACAGAGGTTCCATCCATCCATCATCTGTCCACGCACCCGTATTCCATCTCCTGTATTGTTCTATCCATCTGTTCGTCCATCCATCATCCATCCATCCGCCATCCATCCTCCATCATCCATCCATCCTCTGTCCATCATCCATCATCTATCCATCCATTCTCCATCCATCCTCCATCATCCATCCATCCATCACCCATCCTTCATCCATCATCTATCCATCCGTCATTCATCATCATGCATCCATCCATCACCCATCCATCCTCTATCCATCCTCCATCATCCATCCATTCACCATCCATCCATCCATTACCCATCCATCCATCCATCATCCATCCATCATGCATCATCCACCATCCATCATCCCATCCTCTATCCATCCTCATCCATGCATCATCCATGCATCATCCATCCATCATCCATCACCCATCCATCCATCCATCCACCATCCATCATCCATCATCTGTCCATGCTGTTTGTCTGTCCATCCATCATCCATGCATCAGCCATCCATCATCAATCATCCATCATTGATCCATCATCCATCCATCCATCCATCGTCCACCATTCCCCATCCATCCTCCATCATTCATCATCCATCCATCATCCATCCACCCATCATCCCTCCATCATCCATCCATCCATCCATCCACCATCCATCACCCATCATCCATCCATCCATGCATCATCCATCATCTATCCATCCATTCTCCATCCATCCTCCATCCATCCTCTACCCATCACTATCCACCCATCCATATCCCATCTCTATCCTTCTATCCATCTGTTCCCCCAGCCATCCATCACCTATTCATCACCCATCCCTCTGTCCATCATCCATCCGTCCATCCGTCCATCCACCGGTCATCTACCTGGGTATCTTTCTGGTCTTCCAGATTTTCCTTTACTCTGTACTCAGACGAGTCTCATAAATCACAGTAGAACCAGCTTTGCTAACACACACCCTAGGCCGGCAGCCTTGGCCACCAGAGGGCAGTCCTGCCCCACGAACGTCCAGCTCTGGCTTCTGGTGATTTCAGACACAACAGGATTCACGTGTCCCCAGCGTTAGCTTATAGCCAGCAGCTGTGTCCAGTGACCACAGAGGGGGTCTTAGACCCCAGGAGCCTCCACCCACGCCCCGTCTTGAGCTCAGGGGTCCACACCAGGGGTCCCAGGGCCAGTTAAAAGCATCGGGAATGAATTTGGAACCAACGGGAGACTCAATTTTGCCGGCCGGGATTCGCCTCCGTCAGGCGTCAGTGGAGAAGTCCCTCTGGCGGGATAATCCTGTTGCTCTCACGGGGTCGGGGTCGGCTGGCCTGGTCCAGAGAAGCTTCTGGGAGCTGCGCCCTCGCCTCGGCCCCTTGAGGCCCCAGTGAGCTGGTCTGTGACAACTTCTCAGCTTCCCTCGGCCTGTGCGATGTGCAATCCGTTTCTCCTCCAGCGAGTTTGGGGTTTTCCTCCCAATTTCCAGACGCTGCACGAGTCAGGTCCTCGTTTCCACGGTGGGTCCGCCATCTTGAGGGAGCCCATTAGCACAGCTGGTGAACGGCGGGGGCCGCGTGCCAATAAAACTTTATTTACAAAGCAGTCGGGGCGTTGGGGGGGGGGGAGTCTCAGCGCCGTGAAGCTCTTTGCAGCCACTACGGCACGAGTTCAACCCCCCAACCAGAGAGCTACCCCCAGGGCACAGCAGACCTCTCCTGTCTCCCCGCTGCTCCCCTCAGCAGTGGATTTCAGTGGCTCCGCCTGTTCTGCTCCCCACTCTGTCTCTGGGGAATCCTCTTGCCCCCCACACCTCTTGCCTGCACCCCAGCTCTTGTGTGCATCAATAAATAGATCTTAAAACTAAAAAGGGAGTCGGCGGGGGACCGGTGAACCCCTGGGCCAGACCTTTGTTGGCTAAACGTAGGAGCTCAGACCTCTGTGGGTCCCGCCTCCCCGCCCACCGGGACCGGGGTGAATCCAGTGGCCTCAGCCGCCGGCCTCTGAGTGTCTCTAGATCCGTGAGCCGCTGTGTCCATGATGAGGCGGCCCCCCCACAGCTGCAGCTGTGCCTGGCACCCACCGGGCACTGCCAGGCGCACACGGGCGAGACGCAAAGGCTGTCACCCCCTTCCGCCCTCTGTCTGGCCCTTCCCCTGCCCCTGTCCGCGGGCTTCACGCTGGACCGGCTCCTGCTCCCCACGGAGCTGTGTCTGGCCCAGCAGTTCATCCCGAGGGCCCATCCGCCGGCCCCGGGGGCCCCGCGCGCGGGGTTTTCCGCACCTGCTCCCGCTCCATGCGGACGCGTCTGCCTCCAACAGGTTTCCACCTTTTTTCGACGACAACCCTTTCGGCATTTACCAGAAAATCCTCGCGGGAAAGATCGACTTCCCCAGACACCTGGACTTCAGCGTCAAGTAAGTGAGCCGGGCCGCGTGGCGCACTTTCCCGGCGGAGCCCAGGAGGCGCGGCGGGCGGGGTCACTGCTGCCCCCCGGGCTCAGCTTTTCCACTGAGGGGTGAGGTTTTCGAGGCTCCGTCTCCGTGATCCGTCACCCCGACGCCTGCTGGTCATGCTGGTGCCCGTGGGGGTCACCGACGTGTGGGATTAGCCGGGAGGCCGCCTCCCGGGGGACCCACAACCCCGCCTGGATCGCGCGCGTCCCTGCCGGCCACCTGCTGCTGCACAGAGCCCCAAGCGCGGCCTCGGGGTGGGCTGCACCCCCTTCCCACGTGCTGGCCACTCCGGCGTGTGGCCCCGGAGAGAAAACCCTGCATTTTCACTAGTAGGCACCAGTGTTGTTGCATCTGCGGAGGCCTCGGCCCCGGCTCTTGGGCTGTTCTCACCCGTCGCCATTCCGGGGCCGGAGCTGGACAGGCTGCTCCAGGGAGACGGGCCGCAGCCGTGGTGGGGAAGGCGCTGCAGCGTGTGCGCACAGAGCGAAGCTGCGTTGGCTTTTCTTGCTAATTTTCTAAGTAGCAGCAAAGTCCAGTCAGAGCAAACACATCAGCCCCGAGGTCCGGCTGTCTCGCCTGCGTGTCTGGGAGCTGGGCGGCCCCCTCCGGGCCCCGCGTGCCCACGAACCCGCTCGTTTGGGCTGCAGCTGGCGCTGGCTTTGCCTCAGCTGGATCCTAGGGAGTCTCACGAGAAAAGGGGGGTGCTTCAAGGGGGCGTCCCTTCCTCCAGGCCCACACCCCCTACAGGTGACTCCGCCCTTTCAGACGGATGGTACAATAGTCTGTTGTTTTGGGGCCTCCGGTTTCCTCTTTTTCTTCCTTTCTGGATTGAAGCATCACTGACTGGCGACACGCGCTGAGCTCCAGGACTTCACGGCGGAGGAGGATGAATATGTGTCTGCAGAGCCGAGGCGGAGACGACCCTTGAGGACTGAGCTCTGGGCTTGGGCCATCGGTGTGATCACGAGCAGATATTCCGCAGCAGGAATCTTCACGACCGGGGCGCTCCCGTGAATATACTGAGTAGATTCCCCGCTCTTTACGGCCGAGACCACATTATAGGGGTGCAACGCACGTCGGTTCAATCCGAGACTCACTAATTCGCCCCTCCCCTGTTTCATTGTCTCGATGAGTTCAAGTGGAGGCCCTGGAATCCCAGCGCCCCCCACCCCGGACAACCCTGAGGCCCACCCCGCTCTCCTCAGTCTGGGGTCCGAGCTAGAGCAGGAGCCCGGAGTCGCGCGTGGAGTGGATGCTTGAGCTGGCGTGGAAGGACCCTCACTTCTTCCATTGTGCGCCGAATCCGATGGCGCTGACCAGGGAGTCAGTTCTCATCTAGACGATCGCCATGGGCTGGTGGGGTCACCCCACATGCATGCGGGTTCAGACGGAGCTTCAGGCTCCTTGCAGGAAAAGACGGACTCAAAAGCGAAATCTGCCGCCAGCTCCGTAGGAAGACTGTCTGTCTCCCGGCGTTGATGATCGAAGGAACATTCCATCGTGACATCATGGAGTTCCAGGGACTCCTGGGTGCGACTCGGCCTGCGCAGACACTCGGTTGAGTTCAGCGCCGGGGCCAATTACACCCTTCAAACTGCCTTTGAACCCTTTGTCTCGACTCCCCCACCCAACTTCCCTTCGGTAACCTCTAATTAATCTCCGCCTCGAAGCATTCTGTTGAATCCGTTCTCTTTGTTTGTCCTCTGCCACGAAGAAGTGAGATCCTACAATGCTTGGGGAACGGCACCTTGTCAATCAGGACCCCTTAAATAAACAGACCCGCAGGGCTGGGCAGGCCGTTTATTTTAATCGCGGATAACCTGACCTGGCCTGGCATGTTGTAAGCTCAGCCTCACTGTCCTCAGGGAAGCAGGGCCGTTGACGTAAACCCCAGGGCCTGTTCCCCCACAAAGACTCAACCCTTTTCCTGTAAACTCGTCCCTGGCAGGAAACAGGAACCCATCAGGGTGAACAGAGGTGCTCGGTAGGGAGGCGCCAAGGTGCCAACTTGACCTCTGATGCAAAGGGTAAGGTCATGGGGGGGTTTATGGGTTCTGACACGTGGTTCACGTGCACTCTATGGCTCTTGTGTCCTTCCCCCACACAGAGACCTCATCCGGAAGCTACTTGTGGTGGACAGAACCCGGCGCCTGGGCAACATGAAGGTCAGTGTCTGTGTGTGCTGAGTGGCAATGTCTCAGTGTTTAATATCGATCCGATTCCAACTCTGGGCCTACGGAAAATGGAGCCACTGTGGTCTGCAAGGTATCCGCCAGGGTTTGGTTTAGTTTGAGCGCCATTATCGAGCTAGGCTCCGCCTGCAGACAATTTAGTGTCCAGTCCAGTGGCTTCGAGCTATAGCCCCACCGTCCATCGTAAAGACCTTTTTCATCACCTCCCAAGGAAACCCCAGACCCTGAAGCTACAAGCTCCCTATTCCATCTCCTATTTCTTCCCGGCCTCTCCGAGACCCACATGCTGATGACGTGTGTTTCTTTCCAAGAACGGAGCAGATGACGTGAAGAAACACCGCTGGTTCCGGCCTGTGGACTGGGAGACCGTTCCCGAAAGAAAACTGAAGGTACAACATATGTCGACGGGCCACCCTTCGTTCTGTATCCATGTGCTCCCCGCTGCAATGGGAGGGCTCCCCAGTCTGTGATTCATGTATTTACGGTCAATGCATCAATAACTGGCACAATATAATCCACCATCTCAGATCGCTGATAAGACACGGTCCCCAACAGCAACCTTAGCCTTCAAGAGCCACCAAGAGGACCCCAGGATTTGTAGGGGCACTTTCTGGGATCTGCTGTCTCCCCACTATCTGTAACCACCCAGAGTCTTTCTCCCTTTTCCCCTGGGGCAGTGGTAAGAGGAGTAACACAGGTAGGCCGCGGGTCTTTATGTTACCCTCACCGTTATTGTGCATAGGTGCTGGAGGTGGCAGCTCAGATGGAGAATTTTCCTTTGGGATATTTCAAACCATATTGAAATTCATATGGAACTAGAAAAGACCCAAGAAATTCAAAGCAACACTAACAAAAAAGAGGAAGAAGGGTAGTATCGCAGTCACAGTCTTTAAACTATACTACAAAGCTATAATAATCAAAATAGTGTGGACATGAGACTGTTTTCCAGACTCCCCACTTAGGAGAAACCTGCACAATTGCTGATGTCTGGGTCCAAGCTCAGGCTGCTCAGGTGACTCCTTCTGTGGAAGCTTGATGGACGCGGTTCACTTGATGCAAGTGTTAATCTTTCCAGTGTCGCCTTGTACTAAGTTGACTTGTTTTTTTCAGTCGAGTCGGGGACAGGCTTGCGTTGTTCAAACACCCAATCACTATTGGGACCATCATGGTCAGTTATCTGTAGGTAACTACTGTTTTCTGGGTTTTTTAAAAAATATTTATTAATTTTGTAGAAGAACTGGGGTGCAGGCCAGAGGGATGGAGGGTGACAGGACTTATCAGAGACAGAATGGGGAGCAGAACAGGCAGAACGACCGAAATCCACTGCTGAGAGGAGCAGCGGGGAGGCAGGAGAGGTCTGCTGTGCCCTGTGGGTAGCTCCCTGGCCCGGGATCGAACTCAGGCCACAGTGGTGATAGCGCTGAGACTCGACCCCTAGGCCACCAGGGAAGCCCTCTTTATTAGTGTTTAGTGTTTTATTTATTTGTTAGTTTCTTTATAATCATGTAATAAGCATTCATAAACGGGGATCTGGGTGAGAAGTGACGTCTTATGCGGTCTCCCCAATCCTGTCTTCCCGTTTCATTTTTATTTGACGTGTAGCATTCTGGATCATTCCTTCCCACAGTCAAGAAAACTAAGTACGAAGCTCACAGGAGGGGTGAATCGGGTCGTTAAAAGACTCCGTTGTTTTCGGTTGATGACATCGTTACAGCTGCTCTTTGTAGTCTTTTGGGACATTATTTCATTCGATGTATTTGTATTTTTTAATTTCCTTTCATTGTTGCTACGTAACAGCTTCTAGGAGATTTCTCTGTAGTCTCTTCAGTTTCCTGGCAAGCCATGTGTACGCACATACTCATATTTTCTTTTATTTTTAACCCGAAAGCTAGAGTTACATAGGCTGTGTTCTAGCCCTTTGCTCACGGGACTGCCTGGAGATTGTCCCACACACTTGCAGAACTTTCTCATTCTCTTCACGCTGCTGGTTGACTTACCCAGCTGAGGGACTCTGGCCTGTTGCAAGCTCCTGCTGCAGAGAATCACCTCACATTTGGGTGAGGCTGAATCCTAGGGGTCAGCTCGTTGGGTCAAAGGTGCACTGGAAACTTTGCGACTTCGATAAGGTATTTCTCCACGGCAACGGTGGTGTCCTTGGCCATCCAGACCGCCTTGTCAGAGGGCCTCTCTCCTCCATAGCCTCAGGGCACAATGAACTCTCCAGCTTTGGACTTTCTCGCCAACTCATGATTGAAAAGCCGCGTCTTTGTGTAGTTTTATTTTCATTAGTTTTTCAAAGTTCTCCAGGTGACAGTGGAGGGACCACGTGGAAGAGGGGAGTGAGCCGGACATGTCCGGAGGGGTGGGGCCCAGTCTGGCTGGCCCTCACGCTGCCTGGGTTCCATGCCCTGGGTGGAGGCTTCAAGGAAGAAGGGCGTGCCACTCTTAAGTTCCCTCACTTCTTACAGCCTCGTAAATCTTTGAATTCTCGTGAAACCCACGTATGTGTGTGCGCGCACGCCCGACCGCTCTGTGATGGAGACCCTCCCCGGGGCTGTGACGCACCAGCCCGGCGCTGACGCTTCCTGGCGTGGTTTTTCTGAGTTGCCTCTGCACGTCTGCTGCTGGGGAGACTCCGAGGCCGGCCTCGCCCCCCTGACTGCCCAGCTCCGGCTGTGTTTCAGGCACACGGCGTGACGGTGGCTGATGGGGCACCCGCAGGATCCTCAGGAGCTTTTTCCTTTTCAACCACAATTTCTCATTAGTGTTGATTCATTGTGGGCGCAAGTTGAAGGTGCCCCAGGTGCCTGCTCTCCATCAGGACGCTCCAGCTGTGTCTGTCCTGTACTTGACTTGATTTCAAGTCTCTTGAAAACATCTAGACTCCGACCAATCCCCCTGTGCTGAGCTGGGAGGTGGGGGTGACCCAACAGTGGCCAAATCCCCACACGTACCATTAGAGGAAGCACATCTGTGAACCTCTGAGCTAACTTGATCCAAATAACCTCATGCCTGGGGCTCGGCAGCTCTCAACCAAATCCGGCCCCCGGCTTGTTTTTGCCAATAAAGATTTATTGGCAGTCACTGGGCGGTTCCCGGGCACAATACCAGATTGGTCACAAAAGAAACCGTATGACTCAAAAAACCCCAAATATGTCCCCAAATACTGACCCTTTATGGGAAAGCTCTGCTGACCCCGTTCTCAATCCCAGCGACGTCTTCTTGTCAGCATAGGATGGAAGCTCCATTGCAGACATTCCTAGGCCTGTGTCTGAGGCTTGTTTGCATCTTTCCAGAATTTTCCAGTGTCTGGCTCTGGACTAATAGCATAAGAACTACCTGCATTGGGCCGGCTTGGAAGTCTGCATTTACCAGGCAGACTAAGTGCTCCTCGACCCTGCAATTTAAGAAGCCAGTGCTTGGGGCAGGTACCCACGTTCCCTAGTAATTCCTCAAGTGTGTGACGGTCCGTCAGACCGACGGTTGAGGTCTCAATTCCAAGCTTTGCTGGTTGATCAGCAAGGACGACGTCGTCATTTCTAGCTTCGTGGTGAATCACCCAGGTGGGGGGTATGTGGCTGAGTCCCAGGCACAACCTTCTCACCTTGCCTCCTTGTCTCCGCCCACCCTGCAGCCCCCCATCGTGCCCAAGGTGAGCGGCGAGGGCGACACGTCCAACTTCGAAGCGTACCCTGAAAATGACTGGAATACGGCCCCTCCGGTGTCCCCCAAAGATCTGGAAGCCTTCAAGAATTTCTGAGGCTGGGGAGCCACAGCTGACAGGTGTGTAGGGCTGTGGTCTCAGGAGTGAACAGGCGGTGAGGGGCACGCGGCGCCAACACCAGCAGGATATTGCGTGGAGAGGGCGTGTGGTTGTCATCCTCGTGGTATTTACCAGGTATTGAGAAACTCACCGACTCTTTGGTCTGACTTCCCGCAGAAACGGGCCGAAGCGACCTCCAGACGCAGCTGACGGAGCAACGTCCACGTCGGTGTCCACGTCCCTCTCCGTCTGCCGTCCGTGAAGACGTCAGACACCAGTGGGAATCCACTCACCCGGCATTACTTAAGCAACTGGAAATCTCCCTCCCGGCCGGAAATCTGTAAAATTGTTGGGGTGGAGGTCTCGTCTCATCTGTTAGCTCTGTGTTCCTGCTGTAATTCCTTGTTTTCTCTCACTGACATTGGGTGTTTGGCTGGAGCAGACGTGTGTGTGCATGAGAGTGTGTGTGTGTGTGTGTGTGTGTGTGTGTCAGGGAAGCACAACCACGTCCAGGCGCTGTGCCGTCACAGGGCACGAGCTGTCCATCCTCAGCAGAGTCGTCACTTTGGCCTCAATCCCTTTCCCTGTCAGAGTCTGTTCAAGAGTCTGTGCAAGACTCTGCAAAGGACGGTGCATCTTCCGTCCGCTTATTTGCATTTTGTGACCATGTGTGCAGAAAAAACCACGGCAGGGTGCGCGTCTAGCATCCTCAGGAACCCCCGAACCCCTGCCCCCGGCAGCTTTTGCATCCGGAAGCCAGAGACGAGGGAGGAGAGAGGAGTTTGACTCTTGGCCTCAGACCACCTGCGTCCGTGGAGCTTGTTGAACTACGCAACAGAGTCGAGAATCTCTCGGATTTGCGTTCGGGAATTCTGCGTGACCCGGAGCAACGTCAGCCTGTTTCAGTCGGTTTGAATCTCTGCCACAAAAGGTGCCTCCACGGACGACCTCCACGCGGTGACCTCTGGGCTCGCACCTCGGGAGCGGGGAGAACAAACCATCTGGGGGCTGGCGAGCAGGGGATCCGCTCACCTGTGCGTCTGCAGGTACTTGCCGGGTTGCAGGTAACAGCTGCTTCTCACAGACGGGAGGGTTTCCGCAGATGTTCTCAGCAGTGTTTGCTTTCTCCGGGCCTGGCTAGGAAGGGACTCCCTTGGGGACTATCTGGCTGCTGAGCGGAGGTGTTTCCAGAGCGGTGGCGCCCGTCCTGTCCTGCCCACCTGCCATCCCTGTCTCTCTGACCAGTGAGATGCTCCTCCTGGACCCTGCAGTTCGCTGTGGACAGCTATAGCGGCTGCCCGTTCTTTGAAGCTCTTGAAGAGCAGATCCACTCACTTGTGTTGTGTGTCTGCTGTCCTTGGAGGTCGCTGCTCTTAAGAAGGAGGTTCTAGAACCTCTGCTGTGGCAGGTTCCCTTCATAGTCTGCCCACAGAGGTCCAGCAGCCCGGGCAGCCAGGCTGGGGGCTGCGTGGGGGGGTGTCAGCCACCCCAGGTGCAGAACAGGGACTGTTGGGGACGCCTTGGCTCCCCATCTCTGGAGGTGTCCACGCTCAAGTCAGCTGCAGCCTGGTGCCCATGCAGATCCTGGGAGGGTGGCCCTCCGTGTCCTCGCTACCTCTCTCCCCTGCGGAGCTAGAAGTCTGCTCCTTGGGAAGTCACCCCTTTTGTCAAAACATAGAAGGAATTGTACCCCGCTCTGCGAACCTGACTTGGGACCCACTTAGGAAATCAGGAGGTAACGGTTTGTGCAATTTTGAAGGTGAGACAGCGACAGTCCCTGAGTCGCTTCATCCTGGGGTGTCCACAGCTTAGAACGGGGGCCTCCATGCTCTCTCTGAACCTGCAGGGGAAACGGAACTCTCAAGGGCGCTGAAGGAATAAATTTTTATAGTTATTGTGGAGGCTTTGGCTTAAAAAGCTAAAACACAGGGTGTCTTGTTGACTACCAGGGGACGACTACGTGCAGACCCATGAGCCCTTATGCGTGGCGTTGGGCCAGGTCAGGGACTCGAGCTCAGCCTTGCAAAGCCAGTGAGAGGTGGAAGAGAACCCCGGGACTCCCTGGTGCTGTTAGACTCGTCTGGGGACACATGTGGTGTCTGCTGGGGCTGCAACTTAAAGGCAACACATAGGCGGGTTTCCTGCAGACCAGCCCTAAACCCACGCACAGGCTTGGGGTGGTTCGGACCCTGGTGGGCCTGGGGATGTGTGAACACGAGCAGAGACCATCTGGGCCAAGCTTTGCAGAAAAGCCCCGCATTTCACCACACGGGAGCAGGAACGAACCCCAAGTCTTCCACAATGGTGTGAAACTGTCACCCCCAGCAACCCTGCACCGTCTCCATGACCGACGGCCTGTAGCGTTGAGCGGGCAGTTATATTCCCAAGGAGGAGGCTTCGCCGTGCGGAGTCTTGGAAGTGCAGGCGGAGACAAAGCTCAGATGCTGAGGCATCTCCTGCGCTTGCATCTCCTTCCCCCGGGGAGCCGGAATCCGCATAAACACTGTGGGGAAATTTAGGTTCATGCTGACGACTTAAAATAGGCAAGAGTCACCCCAACTGCAGTGCCTGTGCCCAAGTCTCCTCCCGTAACGCATCAGAGCTCCACTCCCAGCTGCACGGTGCAACCTTGAGACCTCGGTGTCCAGCGGGGTGTTGGGGTGCAGCCCTGCGCCGACCTAGTGGCCTCTATTTTGCACCACCTGTGACAATATGGCTCCACACTGTTAACCGAGGACCCGCCCCCTCTGGGCGGCACCAGCGCCCTGAACTCACTGGAACATCACGTGCTGGACGTGGCCGAAGGCTCCGTGGGGTCTCCGGACCCGCCTGGCAGACACCAGCACCGTCGGGGAAGCCTCCGCCGCTGCACTTGCGCCCCCACGTCTCTCCCTGGTGATTGGCGTGAGCGCCCCTGGTGCCCCCTCGTCTCTCCCCGGTGACTAGCGTTTGCGCGCTGGCGACCCTGATGGGACTGGTTCCGCAGGTGGGGTCAGGGCTCCTGGAGGCAGGGCCTGGGCGGAGACCCCTTTTGGCAACAACCTAGAGAAGAGCACGTGAGGTACTGCGTTCACGCGCTTGCAGCGTTCCAGGTGTGTGTGTGTGCGCGTGTTTGTGTGTTTGTGCATGTGTGTGTGTGAGCCCCGGTGGACGTGCAGGGTGTGGGCCTGTCTCCCCAGGAAGACCCTCTTCCTGCCCACTTTGCAGACCCCGGGGTCAGGGCTTGCATCCTACAGAATGTCCGTCCTCACAGATGTGCTGGCACAGCCTTCTAAAGCCCGTGTGCACACGCGTGCCCTGGGTATGTTTGTGTGTGTGTGCACGTGTGCGTGCGTGTGCATGTGTGCACGTGCTGGGTGTGTTGTTATTTATGCCACGGCATCCCCATGTGTTGCTTGACTGGGTCCTGTTGTCTGTCCTCCCTCCGCAGCCCTGTCCCAGCTGCCTTCTCTCGGCACCGCACCGAGCGCCTTGGCCCCGGCTGGCCCGCCTTGGGGTGCCCCGGGGTCCTCCCAGCTCTGCCTTCAGGGAGGAAAATCAAAGCCTGTTTCTAACCCTTGCACAATGAAAATCACTGTGATTTGTATATATCCCTGGGAAATTTTACTGCTGTCTAATTTATGGAGTAAGACTGGATTCCAGGTTTGTTTAATAAAACTTTGTATCTTTTAAGAGGTCTCGTTCTGCTCCATCCCCAACAGAGAAAGTGTCCATTCAGGGTTGAATTTTTGCCTTTTCTAAAAACGCCATGTTTTTATTTCGGGAGCCAAAGCTAAGGATGGGGTGGGGACCCCTCTCTCTGGTCTCGATGATGCAGGCGGACTTTTTCTGCTGGTTTTGCACAATTCGCTTGCGCCATTTGTTCACGTTTCGGGCCAGAGGGCTTGATGGGTTAAGGGTTCCTGGTTGCAGTCACAGGCTTGGTCTTCCCGTCGGTCTGCGGATCTGCCTGGTGCAGGTGAGCCTCACCGACATGGTTGGGGGCTCCTTTAGGGGGTGTGATCCCGAGACCCTTCTCTGCTCCATCCCACCACTGTCTTCCACGGAGAACAACGCGTGTCTGGTGCGACCTGCATAAACGGTAAAAAGGATAAACCTCGTTGTCTGCAGCCGCATAAATAACCTCAGTCGTCAGATCCCAGCCCGCACTGGGGTGCTGGTCCCCGGGGATAAAACAAAGTGACCCTCCCTCTGTCTCCCCCGGTGCATCTGCGGCTTCAGTGGGGTGTGCTGGGGGCAGGGTAAGGAGAAATGGCAGGACAGCCTCCCCCGGCCCCAGAGTGGGGTGCAGAGTCCTGGAGGGGTGGCTTCCCACTCTGCCTTCATCAACCCACCCCCCGAATTTCAGCCGGGGGAGCTCACACAGGAATGGAGACCAGAATTCCTCGCCGCCCGCGGCTCCGGCAAACACCCTGCTGCTTTGTGTCTTCACCGTTGACAAGAACAGGCACAAGCCACGCAGGATGTGCGCCATCTGGGCCTGTGATAAGGCCGCTCGGGGAGCCGCTATCTCGGTGATGAAGGGCAGGTCTTGGAAGCCGCGGCCTCCAGACGGCCAGGAACTTCAAAGGAGGTCGGCTTTGAGATTCCTGGCTGGGCTCACACTGCCGGTCGCCAGAGACAAGGTCCTAAATAGAACAGCCCCCCAGTTCCCTCGGTGCACAGAAACTCAGCCCCATAAACCGGGTGGGCCCCTCAGCTGGACCCGAGCTGCTCCTGAAAGCATTTGTCTTACGAACTGTCCAGAAATCCGCCCTTTAGAAGCTGACCGTTCCGGCACCTTTCCCGGCCTTCCATGAAGCTGCGTCCAGCCCCGAGTCCTCTGTCTTGACACTTTAATAAACACACTTAATTTTGCTCGTCTCGTATATCCAAGCCAACGATCTTGAGCTGAGAGAGAGTGGCCATTACATCACTGTCCGGGTCCAGCTCGAGGATTTCTTAGTGGGTTTTGCCAAATCACTCCTGACTCTCCCCAAAAAGTTACCATTTCCCCCCTCCTTGGGATGAGAACTTTTAAGTTCTAACCTCTTAGCCACGTTCAACTGTACAATAGGTTGGTCGTAGTTTTCTACAAAGGGCCAAGATGGTAAATAGTTGGGGGTGTGTAGGGCCGAGTTGCAATAAAGTTTTATTGATAAAACCACACCGGGGGCCTCCCTGGTGGTGCAAGAGGTTAAGATGCCGCCTATGAAGCTGTCAGCAGCCTCTGCAGCATGAGTTTGATCCCCAGCCAGGGAGCTACCCACAGGGCGCAGCAGACCTCTCCTGTCTCGCCCGCTGCTCCCCTCAGCCGTGGATTTCAGTCAGTCTGTCTGTTCTGCTCCCCACTCTGTCTCTGGTGGATCCTCTCACCCCCCCAAAGCTCTGGCCTGTACCCCAGCTCTTGTATGCATAAACAAATAAATCTTTAAAAAAAAATTAAGAGGTACCACTCAAACCCTCTTTAAAAAAATTAAAAATTAAAAGAAAAATAAAACCAGACCCGGATGGGAGCAGGACGGCAACCTTTCATGTAGGGTCTTGCAACAGGTGAGTGGATAAAGAAGATGCAGTTTAGGTGACATTAAATGATGACAAACCTGCCAAGAGACACATTTCTCAGCACATATCCTAACCCTTAAGTGTCACACGGAGGTGGAATATTATGCAGCTATGAAAAAGGAGCTCCTGCCATTGGCAACAACAGGGATGGGCTCTGAGTACAAGAAGCTCAGTGACATCAGTCAGATAGGGCGAGGCTTCCTATGTGAAATCTAAAAAAAGCCAAAATCATTAAAATTAAAATGTTGGTTAGCAGGCAACACAGGGTGAGGAACTAGAAGGGCTATTCAAGGATGTGACACTGTCGGGGGTGGGGTGCACGTGGCCGTTCTTGAGAGCAACCGAGCTAAGGGATCACGTCAGCTCTTTATTGGGGGAGAAACTCCCATCAAATGGATGTTCTTCCCAAGCGTCTGTGCAAACAGCCTGGAACAGCCTGGAACAGACCCCCCGCGCCCAGAGTTCACCCAGCATCCATGGCAGGAACCAGGCCCTGCCAGCTGGGTCTGGGTCTCACCTCAATGACTTGGTTCTGCAGGACCTGACCGAGGAGCGGGGGCCTTGCTGTCCACTCAGGGCAGCCCGGCATGTCCAGCTTTACCCCCTCGCCCGCGTGTGGCCAGGAAGACCCTCCTGGCTACTCACAGCCTCTGACCTGCGGAGGCAGCTCTGGAAGCAGCTCAGAAACGCAGCCAAGGCCGCGTCGGAGAAGTGATGTCACTCCAGGAACAGAGAACCTGGCAGAGACCCCAGATCCTGCGGTCTCTGCTCGAGCTGCTCATTTGGGGGAAGTGGCGGAGACAGCCCAGAGGCTGGGCTTGGAGAAAGGCCCTCGCCAGAGCGGCCTCTGCCCCGGACGCCCCTGCCGAGGCCAGGTTCTGAGACCGGTTGGGCTCATGGGTCTCTGTCCAACCCAGCCCTTCACCCCTCGCGGGAGGCCCCCCCTGCTGCATGGCTTTCTCAGGAACAGTCTCAAAAACCATCGGGGCTGCGTGGGACGTGTGCAAAGTGGGGTTTCCAGCCCATAACGGTGGCCACGGGAGAAATAGACTCTGCAGAAAAATGCAGAACTTCTGTTCCTCACCCTCTGTCCCTCTCTGCCTCTGTCCCTCTCCATCCTGTGTCTTGTCTCTCTCTCTGTGTCTGTCTCTCTCACCTCCCTGTGTTTCTCCATCTCTGCCCATGAGGAAATGCTGCCCATGGCCACCTTGTCTTGCAGCTCCCCGGGGCCGGCTGCACGGGACCCCCGGCGCGGCTGGATTCTGGGGTCAGCCCTGGGCACCTGTGGGGTGCCCCCCACAGCCCCTGCTCCAGCGTCCTGCAGACTGGTGGTGCCGGCAGCTGCCGCGGGGTGCAACGGGAGCCTCTTGCAGGCATCGGGCCTCAGGTGATGCGCCCCAGACCCTACAGAGTGAGGCCTGGCGTCAGCTTCTACCTGCATGAGCAGCTGTGGTCACTGGACCCTTCCTCGCAAAAATAACCCTTGGGTCGGGATGAGTGACCCTCACACTGGCCGCTGGGTAGACAGGCACCCCCACTGTTTCCACGCAGGGGAAGCGTGGCCGGATGACCCACGTGCAAGCTGTTTCTGACGGTGCCATTCGCTCCGCAATATGTAACATGTGACAGAGACAGAGAGAGGATGGAGAGACAGAGACACAGAGAGACCTGGGTGGGCAGAGCAGGACTTCTGGATAGTTCTGCAGAATCCATTTCTCCCGTGGCCTCCGTGAAGGGCTGCAAACCGCAGTTTGGAGTCTGTTGCATGAAGCCCCAGTTATTTTTAAGATATTTTTCTGAGAAAGCCACAAAGCTGGGGTTCCTTTCCAGGCAAAGCGAGCTGGAGAGTTGGGCTGGAAATAAATTTAAATATATTTAAAACCAAGGTGGTTTAGAGGCATTTGAAGGAGGGCAAGTTTGGAACAGTGCAGTGCTTGGTTAATATTGTAAATAGGATGAGATTTGAAATGATGAAAGGAAGTCTTAAAGAGAGCTTAGGAATTAAACTATGGTCATTATTTTTTAACACTGTTTGGACAGGTTTGCAGTTGCATTAAAATATAGATAGATGGATGGGGGATGGATGATGGATGGAGAATGAATGGATGGTGGATGATGGATGGATGATGGATGATGGATGATGATGGAGGATGGATGGAGGATGGATGGAGGATGGATGATGGAGGATTGAGGTTGGATGGAGGATGGATGGAGGATAGATGGAGGATGATGGATGATGGTGGACGATGATGGATAATGGATGGAGGATGGATGGAGGATGGATGGATGGATGGATGGAGGATGGATGGATGATGGGTGATGGATGATGGATGAATGATGGATGAATGATGGATGGATGATGGATGATGATGGATGGAGGATGGATGATGGATGAATGATGGATGGATAATGGATGGAGGATGGAGGATGGATGGATGATGGATGGAGGATGGATGATGATGGAGGATGGAGGATGGATGGATGATGGAGGATTGAGGTTGGAAGGATGATGGATGGATGATGGATGATGGGTGGAAGATGGATGGATGATGGATGGATGATGGATGGATGGAGGATGGAGAATGGATGGAGGATGCATGGTGGATGATGGATGGAGGATGGATGATGATGGATGGAGGATGGATAGAGGACAGATGGTGGATGATGGATGGAAAGATGGATACAAGATAGGTAGATGGAGGACTGGATGGATGATGAATGGATTGATGGATGGGTAGATCGATGAGTAGATAGATAATAGATAGATAGGTAGATAGATGATGGATGGATGATGGATATTGATAGATGATGTCATTTTCTATTGTTTTCATGAAGTTACTCCCTCACACATTTTTTGTGCCTTTTAATCTTTAGCATTTTCCACTTTTATGGGCACATAATGGACACGCATCATTATTTAAACTTTCAGTCGCAAGCCTGGGGACGGGAAGGCTTCCTGGTTGCCACATAGGCCTTGCTCTTCCCATACAGAGCCCTGGTTCCTGTCTTGCCCTCCACTCCAGATCTCCCTGAGGCTCACCTGGCGCAGGTGAGCTTCACCTGCATGGTTGGGGGCTCCCTTGGGGTTGTGTGTGACCCTGAGAGCTTTCTCT